GTGAGCTGTCCATTTGATCACCTGATTAGGAAGGAAGGAAAACAATGGACCCAAAGATAGAGAATTTACTGTGGATACATCGTCAAAAGAAATATACTCCATAGAATTTTACACACACTGCGTGCAGTTACAATGTTCAGAAACATTCACTGAAGACAGGAGTGTAAGTAAAGAAAACAAAATTTGCATAATGGTTGTGTTAAGGTGCTGAGAATAAAGGAGACTCAAAAACCAGGTGTGGGGAGGGGTGGAAAACAGGTGCAGGGGCACACACCTGTAATCTCAGTGACTCGGGAAGTTAAGGCAGGAGGATCACAAGTTTAAGGCCAGCTTGGGCAATTTAGGGAGACCCTTGCTCAAAAAAAAAAAAAAAAAAAAAGAGAGATGGGGAATAATAGCTCAGTGATAAAAGCGCCCTTGGGTTCCATCCCCAGTACCAAAAATAAATAAAATAAAATAAAAAAGTAAAAATGAAGTCATTTTGGTCTGGGGTAGGCCTAAGCTAATGACTAATGTCTTTTTAAGAAGAGGGAAATTTATTTGGACACACATAAAGGCTGAGGCAGACACTGCAGTGTCTCATCTCCAAGCCAAGGAATTCAAGGATTGCAGGCAACCTCCAGAAGCCAGGGAAGGGAGATTCCTTCCCAGGGGACTTCAGAGAGAGCATGAGACGGTGCCAACATCTCCATGTTGGACTGATCTCTTCTAGAACTGCAAGAGGATTTTTTTTTCTCTCCCTGTTTTAAACCACCCAGTTTGTGGGAATTTCTTACCACAGCCCTAGGATGCTAGTACAGGATAAAATGTTCATTTAAGCTGGGGGCGGGGGAGGGGGAACCGGACATGTGCTACCTGGATGAGGAAATATGAGGAATTTTAATAAAACACGTTGAAACCGTCTTTGCTGGCACTACCCTCTTGTATGAAAATTGTCATATACCTTTGCAAGTTAATCTCAGGTCTTACCACAATCAAACTAGTCACACTGCGGCCAGAGTGAGCTTCCTAGAATCTGATCATCTGCTTCAAACATTCAGTGGTTCCTGCGGAGTCCCCACAATAATACCGAAATTCCCCTGGTGGCATCACTCCCAGCCTCGGGCAGCAACATGGTCAGCACAGTCACACTTCTTCCCCTTGGCCTCACTGCTGGGCCAACTCTTTGTTTGGGTAAAAGGTCTCTATACTGATGCCCCTTCTGGCTGCTTAGCTTCCTTCCCAAGCAGTCCTGTCATCTGTCTCAATTTCCCTGGCACAACTTACTGCACTTGCCAGTCACTATCCCTGTAACAAAACATACAGGCTGTAGTCTTGCTGCTCAACCTTGTCCACAGACTAGAATCACCAGAGTTTGTAAAAGTTGCAGAATCTCATGTCCAGTCAGAGCTCCATCATCAGATGTGTTTTCTGACCAGGTGCTCAACTGACTTTTATTTCACATGATATTTGTGAGTCTCTATCTTTCCATAGCCTAGCACAGCATCTGAACTGCAACAGAGATTTAATTGATCAAAGCAGGAAATTCAGATGAATTTTCTGTTAATAAACATGCTACACAAGAAGAAGAAGATAAAAAGTCCCTTTTATTGGAACAAACAGAATCAGGTCTACAGTTTGTATGTTTCATCACATGCTTCCTCTAAATACTCCTTTATGCATCTCTCATATCCTCTTGTTCAGCTGTCAAATCCTATTTTCTGCTTGAAATATATGGATGACTGTTCTATTACTAATCATGTTTATTGCTGTCAGTTTAAACACACACACATATGTTATCTACAGACACCCTTTTTTTTTTTTTTTTTTTTTGGTACCAGGGAATGAACTCAGGGGCACTCAACCACTGAGCCACATCCCCAGCCCTATTTTGTATTTTATTTAGAGACAGGGTCTCACTGAGTTGCTTAGCACCTCGCAGTTGCTGAGACTGGCTTTGAACTCTCATCCTCCTGCCTCAGGCTCCCGAGCTGCTGCTGGGATTACAGGGGGGCACTACTTCGCCCAGCATCTACAGACACCTTTTTAAACAAACACTCCAAATGACAACACAGATTACCAGATCTTCCAGATTTTTACTGTCTTTTACTTTTCTTTCTTTCTTTTCTTGTACTGGAGATTGAACCCAGTGGCATATAAACACTGTGCCACATCTACAGTCCTTTTAATTTTTTGAGAAAGGGTTTCCGCTAAGTTGCTGAGGCTGGCTGATTTAGACTTGCAATCCACCTGCCTCAGCCTCCTTAGCCACTGGAATTATAGGTATGCTTTCTCTGTCATTTTTGAACTTGGTCCATGAAAATGAATTATCTGGTAATTATTATTATTATTATTATTATTATTATTTGCGGTGCCGGAGATTGACCCCAGGGCCGTGTGCATGCAAGGCAAGCACTCTACTAACGAGTTTTATTCCCAGCCCTCTGGTAATATTTTTTAAAATAGTTATCCTCACCAGTCCTAATTTTTAAAAAACAAATTGTAGGAAATTATAATGCTCCATGATAAATCTTTTTTTTTTTTTTTGATCAGGCATTGATCCAGGGCATTTAACCACTGAGCCACATCCCCAACCTATTTCACTTTTTGAGACAGGGTCTTGCTAAATTGCTAGGAGCCTCACTAAATTGCTGAGGCTGGTTTTGACTTTGCAGTCCTCCTAAGTCTTCCGAGCCTCTGGGATTACAGGCATGTGCCACCCTGCCCAGCTCATGATAAATTTTTAATCATTATCTTGTTAGCTTCAGTGGCCATAATATCATTATTTTTCTTACAAGTCCAACATTAAATGATTCGCCAGTTTTCAAACTCTTCTTCTAATTCCCTTATTAAAATGTTAGTTCCAGAAAGAATTTATGGACCATTTTTTCCCCAATGAAAATGCCCTCCATCAGCTGCTTCTGAGACTCCCCTTCCCTCCCCTCCCCTACTTCTCATTCCAAGCCAATTGAATTTGCAATTCTTTTAAAGGTAGAAATGCCTACAGTTTGTGTCCAGTATGGGTCAAAAACATTCTATAATGATAATGTTAGAGGACAGAATTGATACACCCTTTGTAGATAAACAGTGTTATAGTTTGTTTTTCTCCTGTATGTGTGTATTCATTGCATTTCAGAATGCATGGTTTGCACAGAAGTTTACTAGTTTATGCAATTAAGAAATCAACTTTATTCTTATGAATTAAGGAAGTAGAAATGACCCTTCAGAGGGTCACAGAGGTTTTGAGTTGGTTTAAGATAACAGATTTTAGGGTAGCATCTCCATTTGGCTTCCTGCGTCACGTGTTGATATTCACATCCTGAATTTGATCTGCTTTTGTACCTAGCATTTACCATACTCAAAAACACCCAACATCAGCCTCAAAACAAAGTTGTTTAAACTCAAGAGTAGTTTTGTCCTATGCTTATAATATTGTCTATACCTTATGCAGGGTCAAGCAATAAATAAATATTTGCTGGTTTGTGTTGATTGAATGATTTAAGATAAATACACAAGCTCAGATGCCTACTGGGGCCAGATAATGTAAATGAGAAAAGCAAACAGCAGGGAATGTTGGTGAATGGGAGCCTCCAGGTCCCTCTGAAGGAGGTGACTTCCACTTCTAGCCTACTCTGCACTTTTTGCAAAATGAAAGTGTCAGAGCTTCTGGTTTCCCTAGAGATGCTGGACATCTGAGTTTTTAATTCAGCCTTTCATTTTTAAAATTTGTTCAGTCATTCAATTTTTAAGTTGGGAATCTATTCAAACCTTTACTTGTGACATTTTGCAGAGCAACACTGTGAACCAAAGCAAACTCTTCTAAGAGGTCCACGCAGCTGTATGCAACCGACTTGGAAGCTCTGCATTCAATTAAGTTGATGTAGAAACACTCATTTTCTAAGAGGTTGTGATTGCTAGGAAGGCCTAGTTGGATAAGAGGTCTTGCTCCCTGTGTGATCAGGCAGGACATGACTCTCTGCCCATGTTAAAGCTCGGGCAATTTACTCAATATCGATAAACCTATAGTTTCTGCACCTGTTAAGTGGCCACGATGCTAAGAAGGACAGCTTTCAATACCTGTTTGGGGGACAGAATGAGAAAAATGCAAGCCAAAGCTCTTAGTAGAACTGACCCCCTATTATATCTCTTAACTATTCCTAACTCTAGCACTCCTTTATACAATAATATTCAGGTACCAATCAAATACTGTGATAGCAATATCACCTTCCCAGGTATCTCATCCCTCCCTTTACAAAAGATTTGAATGTTTTCTTATGATGATGACCCACTCTTTTTATCACCGAACATCCAGGAATATGCAATACCGACATACCCAAGGAGAACGTTGCACAGCTTTTAAAAATCATATTCCTACCCGGGGCAGAGAACCAGGCCCCTCCCACCACCTACCCGCACTCTCACCCCTTCCCAACGCACGCACCACGTGCGGGGTTCCAGTGTGCAGATTCCCCAACACTCCCAATGCTTTATTTTGCCCTAGGACCTGATACTTTTTTCACCTGGCTTCGGGCACCTTTTCTACAGTCGGTAAAGTTTTCTTTTCACTTCCCCGGTAATATCCACGCTGAATTCTAAGTTTCCTGGTCCTAACCCTTCCCGGGGTTTTTTATTACATAAGTCTCTGATTGCCAGTTTATGATAAGGAGGAGGCGCCTGGCCTCTCCCCAACCCCCAACTTTCCCACTAGGAAACCCTGGTCTCTCTCGCCCCCCCAGCCCCCTTCGACAGCAGCCGTCTCTACCTGGGGCGTTCGTAGATTCTCAAAACCGACCTTTTTCTCCCATCCCCTTTTTAAAGGAAGTAATTGTGGGGCCGAGCGGGGTCCCTCCGGCCCGGAGCCCAGCGCCCCCCGCCTCGGGTCGGCGCCGGTGCGGGTCCGGACAAGTTGCGCTCCGCAGCCCTTTTCCAGAATGGCGCGCGCTCCCGCCACGGCGGGGACGAGCAGAGGCGGGACGGGGGCGGGCCCGCGTCAAGTATCGTTACGTCACCGGGGAAGTCCCCCTATGACTCGCGAGTGGCCTCCGCGCGGGAGCTCTGAGGATCCCGGCACAGAGTGCCCTCAGGACCTCGGTGCGCCCGGTGTTCCCGTCCCGCTGGCCGGCCCGGCGTGCAGCTCGCGTCCTGCGGAAGCCTGGGCTCCTGAGTCGGGGGACAGAGTTCCCCGGGTTTGCAGCGGAGATCGCGGCGGCGCTCGGCGAGATGCCTGGAAAGAAGGCGCGTAAGCGCGCGCCACCGAACCCCGCACGGGCGCCAGTAAAGGCAATGAATTGTTACGGATTAGCTTGTAGGAAGACGCTGGTTTAGGTTAACAGAACTGGAAGTTGAGTGTGTCACTCAGCTCAGGAAATTGAAAATAGACTGAATTCTCTGGGTTCTGTAGCAGAGGTCCCACCTAGGGAGATGCCTGGAAAGAAGGGGTGAAAGAAGGAGCAGCTGCCCCAAGCGACCCCAGCATCAGCATTAACAGAGGTGGAACTTGAGTCTGGCATTCAACTCAGGAGATTTGGAGACAAAGTAAATTTCCGTCAGAAACTTCTGAATTTGATTTCCAAACTCTTCAGTTTAGTAACTTGACTGCTTCAAAAGCCTTTGGGTGAAGGGAGTCCTTTAAAAAGGAAGTATCCCCAGTAGGTCCAATTTCATCAGAGGAGAGACTGCATTATAATTGAAAGGAATGTGAAAGAGCATTCACTTCCTTTTGGAAGTCTTTGGAAAGGGAAAACATAACAAGTCAAAAGATGAATTTCTGTAGGAGGCTTCCCAGAAATCATTCTTTGGGATGTGAGACCTTTGTGGAACCATGTTTTATTTTAAAACATGAATGGAAGAGCTTTAAAAATAGGGAAGTTATTGTTAATGCATTTCTTTTTTTGCTTAGAGATTATTCTAGTATTTTTGTTGAATGTTGCTGCCCAGCCTGGTGTAACAAGA